ATCCGATTCTCTGAACTGAAAAAGAAACTAAAATGGCGCCGCCCGTTGTGCATACAGCTCAACCAGAGCCATGTATTGAGAGAGTTGCGACATGCTTTGATGTCGCCGCAAGGCTGTCACGTGGTTCATGGAAGCCCCCAATAGTTCCAAAACAGACGCGGGCTGTCATGTTCTTCAATGGACAGACAGCAGCGATTGCATTATTAAACGGTAAATATAAAATAAAACGCACACCAAAGTACTTTTTAAGCTTTTATTGCGTTTGATTAATGTCAGTGTTGCATTTGGAGAGGCAGGGTGACAACTTAGATGTTTTTTAGGCTATATTTTTGGAGGGAAAAGCTTGTGTTCATGTTCGCATTGGTAGTTGCACTGGCTTTAGCTGCTCTAACTTAACTTTTCCATGTCATTCATCTGATGATGGACGTCTCATGATATTTATTTTAGCACAACTGGGATGTAGGTTATTGATTCCCGTGATCTTGCTTATAAATTCCGATTCAGCCATTAGCCTACCGTGATCACGCAAAGACCTGTGGACCGTTCAGGATAACAATCACGACAACCAACGTAAAATATAAATAATTACGCTGTGCATGTACAAATGAATGATTTAGGAAGGATATAGACTGCTCCCATAACGTAGCAATGACCATATTTACAGTAATGTTCGGTAAATTTTAACTGTTAGGTACCTTTTCTATTTTGAATGTAATTCATTTTCTATAGTGCTATGGACCATTTAATATGTATGTCCTGAATAAAGATATGATGATGATGATGATGAGTTAATGAGTAAAATATTTGTTTCTAAATATGATCCATAACTGTTGGGATTCGATTCAGTGGTTAATGTAGCCCTTCATCCTACCCTATTTATAGACTAAACCATTCATCAGAAAACACACACAAATACATTTATAGGATGTACTATGTATTGGCCTACACATGTTTCAATCACACATAATAACTAACCCCCCCCCCCCCCCCCCCACACACACACACACACACACATATATATACACACACACACATATATATATATATTTATATTTATATAATGCATGCATATATACATTACACAAACACATGCATAACTCTAAACCATTTAAATAAATCAATTGTGTGTGTGTGTGTGTGTATGTCACAGTGTGTTGCAGGCAGAAGGACAGGCAGAGTCCAAAATTCAAACGAAGATTAACTATTTTAATTCCAATACAGGCAGGAAGACGGGGTACACAGGGTAACATCAAACATTGACCGACAACGACTGAATGGAACTGAACAAACTAAATACACAGAGGAATCAGGACTAAATGAGGTAAACACAGGTGAAAATGATAATGACAGGACGAGGAACAGGTGGCTGATTGGGGAGTGAGTCCGGGAGAGGAACAAAAGGATCCGGGGAAGTGTGGTGCAGATGACGCAGACAGGATGGTGCAGACGAAGGACTGTGACAGTATTTATATCTAATATTTTATATATATTTATATATATATATATATATATATTGTATATCTAATATTATATATATATATATATATATATATATATATATATAATATTTTATATATTTTTCAAATAATATAATAATATGTTATATATTTATATGATGTTATAAAAAAATATTATATACATCAGGTAACCATAAGTTAGCTAACAACGTTAGTGAAGTGTTGGTCACGTAAGCTATCGCTGCAATTAACCTATTATCTTCCAATAAACATTTACTAGATCTGGCTACATAACATATAACTACAGACTAGATTCACGAGAGGTCGGCTAATGTGTGTAAAAGTAAAAATTACAGTAATTTCATTAATTTACCAGCGAGCGTACTTCGGAAGCACTGAAAATGAATGGGGTTCAATGCTGGAACTATCAGTGGTTGGAACTAATGGGCGGGTCCATGACACGCGTTACTTCCACACTCCTGAGTTACAAGGCGGTCTATGGGACTGTCAGAACTCTCTCAATACATGGCTCTGAGCTCAACTAACGTGATCGTTATAAAGCTGTCTTAACAACAAAACCCATCCACTTGCACATATTTGACAATCGGAATATCAGTGTTTCATGATATAGCTAATATATTTTTAATAAAAAAGGAAAAATGACATAAAAGCAGATCATCATTCATTCCGCGCTCTGTTCTGGTTGTGCTGTGTCACGTGACAAGCAATGACGCGTCACCATGGAAACATTTAAGTGACAAGTTCTAAATAACGGTCGCCTTGAAAAACTCACGCTGGGGGGTCAGTTAGGTAAGGGTTAATGACCGACGAGGTGTCCATTGTCAGGTTTTAATGGACGACGGCGAGGCGTAAACCGGCCGACACGCAGCGCAGCCGAAGTCCAGGCGTAGTTGAGCGTTCCGCCAAAGTCCAGGCGTAGTTGAGCGTTCCGTGACACACACCCACACACACACACACAAATATTCTAATATGTCTATTTGTTCACAATGTCCCACCACACAATAAATCATTATACCATTTTGACTAGACACATACAAAATGCAAAAAGATTTGTTTTTACAAAATGTTTGGAGCAATTTGTTATATTTTTGTAATTTTTGTATATTTTAGATTTATAACATTAAAGAGTAGGCTATATTTGATGTGATTGCTGTCATTAATGAGATTTACCGATTGTTATAATTTCAGTTTGTGCTGGTTAATTATGAACAATGGTTAAAATTGGGGGGCGGGGACGGGGCTCCATTGGGGCTCCTCCCCTAACCGCTTGTGATCTCACTCCAAGCTTTTGATAAAACTTGAGAACCCTGATTATCGGCCTGGGGTGCGTTTCCCGAAAGCATCGTTAGCCAACTATGGTCGCAAGTTCCGTCGTTATCAGCATAGTTCAACGATTCGGTGTTTCCCGAAACCATCGTTCCAACGAACATCTCTCGACCTATGATTAGAGGCATCGTTTCTATATTGCAACACATTTGGAGGTAATAAATCCTTATCTTGAGCATAATGAGCAAGCTGACATTCAGTACAACCGGTGTCTTTGATTTAAAATACTTACAAATGGAATTTACGTCTTTTAGTTTGTCAAAAGATTTGAAGTAACGTGTTTGAAAAGTGCGCATGTGCGAACGCGCTCCACTATGTAAGAACGAGCCAAATATGAGTCTGGTAATAAAGCAGAACAACTGAGAACAATTAGAAATAGTCCTCAGATGACATGTCTGTAATTTATATAAAACAAATCTAGCGTTAATTGGATCTCAAACAGTTTCATTAAAAGTAGTTATTACTCCACCACGTGCGAAACCAACGTGGTTGAACGATACTTTGCGACAGTGGGTTTCAGTCGTGACTAGCTAGTTGATTTTTCCAACGATGCATCGCACTATGGTAGTGAAGCGAACTACGTCGTTGTACGGGAAACGCACTCCTGTTCACATCAGCCCTACACTGTAAAAAAACGCAGTCTATGCAGACAACTCAGGCTCCACAAATAGCAACAAAAACAAACTGCGGCAACCCGCTCCACGAAACATAACAAACTGTTCCAGTCAATCACTGAGAAGAAGGCCCAGGGGGTGGGGTTTGGGGTCTCAGTGCAGATGATGATTTTGTTTGAAAATACTTAAAACGTCAACAAGAAGTCACGTCACCAGAGATCGCTTAGAGCACCTTTAATTAGTGGTGCATGATATACATAGCTGTCAACATTGAACACTGAAAATAAGGGAGTTTTCCCGGAATCCATCCCCAAAATAAGGGATTTTTTTTTACACGATTCTTACCCACAAACTTTAAAAATAAAGCACTAATCCTTAAAAGTCTAAAGAGTTAATAACTAGCCTAGAAACTAGTGTAATTTAAAGAAAAAAAAATCTACATTTGGATTAGCGGTGTGTTGCTCTTGCCTTTGCGACAACAATTTCAACTGTTATCACATCTTCCAAAACCCACAAAATAGGGAAGTGGGCTGTCTGTTTATTTCAATTACATTTACACATTTTGTGTAGTTTTAAAGAGCCTATATTTAGCCTGGTGGTGGACCATCACTCAGAAGACACACTGTTGTTATTGTAGCCTATCGTATCTTTATATCCTCCTGAGGCCCAGAACGTTTTTTTCCAAAAGTTTTTTCTTCTTCTTCGTGTAATCACATTGTTAAGAGCATAAGAAACAAATGAAAAAAGAAAAGAAAAGATATTTTATTCATATGTTATATGACCTTAAATTATATATAGGCAAAACTAATGGCAATATAAATCGATTATTATAATTATTATTTGTTTAAATTACATTGATATCTGAATTTATGTAAAAACCTTGACTTTCAAACATCAAAATGTAAAATGTAGGCTATTCGAGTACAAAATGACATATAAACATCGTTTCCTATTTTTTATTTATTTTTTTGCCTGGAAACGCTTTCAACACGCTTGCATGTAGCTTGAAAAAATAGGCGTCAGTTCTATTTCTAGCATGCACGCGTTTTCTGGAGACGCGCGTGTCACGCAGGCAGTGTGCAAGCTCTAATCTGTTAACATGGGAGCCGAAATAAAAACGGACACGCCACACAGCCAGTGTCTCTCCGGCCAGCGCGCGCGGCGCCGCATCCGAGGATAAACGACTTCAAGCCGAATCAGCCCGAGCTCGAACGTCTCACACAATCATAGTAAAAAACCGGGATATTTTACGGGAAGATACTAAAACGGGAAGACAGCGGGAAAAGAGCAAAAATACGTGAGAAACCCGGAAAAAACGGGAGGGTTGACAGCTATGATGATATATCGCCGCCAATATAAAATCAGCCGATATGGTCACATTTTTACACATCAGTATCGTTCCGGTGTTTTTGTTTTAAAACCAGCATAAAAAAAAAATTATGAAAGATTAATGTTTAAGGTGCTCTAAGCAATGTCACAAGTTTTTTAGGCCAAAACATTTTTTGTCACATACAGCAAACATCTCCTCACTATCCGCTAGCTGCCTGTCCCCTAACAATATTTAGGTGTTTGTTGAAAGTACCTGCGTCCTGGAGAGAAATCTCCATCTCTGGATGCTTGTGAATCAGCCATGATGAAGAGCAGGAGAATCTGATGAGTTTGATCTCCTCCACTGACTCTGATAAAGAAACATTCACACACTACATTAAATGATTAAACAACATTAATAATTTAGCAGAACATATCTGGAGTGTGTGAGTAAAAGGATCATGTGACTGTGTTAACTAAAGCTCATGTACACACATAAGCTGTTAAACTTCTGAAGAATCACAGACATCACCAAACACAAAAATAAACATTGAAGTGAAAGAAACCCTTATGCCGAGTTCAGACTGCATGATTTTAGCCACGATTTTGGCTCGCCGACAGGTTTTGAGAAATAGCCGACAAATGCCCGAAATCACAGGCAAATCGGCGCTCGTTCACGCGAGTGACAATCACGCTGTCACAGTCCTCCGTCTGCACCAGTCTGTCTTGTCTTCAGCACTACACTTCCCAGGATCATCTCGTCACCCTATCCCAGCCCGTTCTCATCCTTTAACGTCATATAGAACGCTATATGCAAAAACGGCGCTATACTACGCACATGGCACCCTTTATCGTTAATATAACACGCGAACCCAAGACGTTATAAATCCTTTAGCGTGAATATGACACGCACACCCTACCCCACACCTAAACTTAGCCCTCACAGCACGTGTTATATTAATGATAACGGGTGCCATGTGCGTAGTATAGCGCCGTTTTGTCATATAGCGTTCTATATGACGTTAAAGGATGAGAATGCCTTGCCTATCCCGTGTTCACTCCCTCATCAGCCACATGTTCCTCGTCTTGATCATCTGTTTCACCTGTTTTCACCCCATTATGTTTGATTCCCCTGTGTATTTACTTCCCTCAGTTTCCTTCAGTCTTTGTCGATCATTGAACTTGTGTTACCATGTTTTGAGTGCATTCCTGTCTGTTTTGGTTCCATTGGATGTTGAAAGTTTAAGTAAAGTGTTTGCATTGGAATATCTGGCTCTTCGGTCTTCTTCATCTACCTGCACTTCCACCACACCCGTGACACACGCAGTGTGAATGAGCAAAGACGTGAACTGAGAGAATCACCGACGAGTCGCCGACGCCCGTGAGATATTTGGCATGCTAAATATCTGGACCTGTCGGCGACTCAAAATCCTGCTGTGTGAAAAGTGTTTTGACTGAAAACTACATCGGCGATCACCAGCAGCCAGTGAGAGAGCAAGATACAGAGCAGCGGGGAGTTCGGGGAGGAGTTATAGATCACATATCAACATGATATGTCATTGTTTCAGAAAAAAAAGCTTCTTCACGGTCTATTTGGACACAATAAATGGAAGAAAAATTAGTAGAAATTTGGCAGGAGCACTCGTGTCCAGTGGTGGAGGAAGTACTGAATCTCAATACTTAAGTAAAAGTACAAATAACCAGATAAATATTTACTTTAGTAAAAGTAGAAGTAACACAATGACAACCATACTTAAGTAAAAAGTACCTGATTTTAAATGTACTTTAAGTATTAAAAGTAAAAGTACGTGCATAACAATTGATTCTCTTAATGACTATTTTCTAATGATTAATAAAACATTTCATTCTAACTCATTCAACCTAATACTCCTATAATGATGTTCAATAATGATGGAAAAAAACTTTTTCTGAAACAAGCTTGCAATTAGCCAATATAAACCATGCCTATCCTTACTGTATGTTAATAACTATGTTTGGCAGTAAACGTGATTAATTTATGGTGTAATTCTGAACCGCTTGGCTTGCCATAATCCTAACCAAACGTATATTACATAGGTGCGTTTCCTATGCACGTAAAAACAAATTTTCGCGTATAAATTGCTCGATAAACACACTGCGTGCGAGACCCATTTAGTTGATGTAACTATGGCAACCAAACGTCACTGGTGAGAGACAAACGTGCAACGAACGGACGGTCAGATTACATTTTGGCAGGGGAAAATGTAATGAAAATATAACAGAAGTTGTAGAAATGTAGTGGAGTAGAAAGTATAATAATTGCTGCAAAATGTAACGAAGTAAAAGTAAAAAGTAGGCACTATTTATTCTACTTAAGTAAAGTAAAGATACGTGAAAAATATACTTAAGTAAAGTAACGAAGTATTTGTACTTCGTTACATTCCACCATTGCTCGTGTCTGTTTGACGTTTTACCACAACCGGGTCGAAAAAAAAAAAAAGTCTCACATGATAACTCGAGTAGTATGAAGCTGCAGACTCGGAGACCTGCATCTACAGTCCACCTGCACCCAGAGTCCCGCATTCTCAGACCCCTTGTTTTTCGAGACAGAATCAAATTGTATCGGATAAACATGTGAAGAACATGTGAAGAACTTAAGCAAAAACGTGAGTAGGCTATCTTCAATTTTATTTAGCGAATCGTAGCCAACTCGTTTGATTTATTTTTTAATAAAACTAATTTAGCTCATCGATACATAGCCTATGAATAGTCCACTGAATTTTTGTAAAGTTAGTTTTTAACAAGATTTGAGCCGTTAATGTATGTTTTTTCGCCCTCTTCCCCCAAAAAATATTTAGATAGCTTACGTTTATAATTTAGCAACATAAACATAAGCATCATAAGACATGTGCTATGGGTCCTATGTTGTAGGCTATTCCAGGGTACACCATACATCGATGGAGTTGCCCCTGCCGAACCCAGCAACATCATTTTATGATTATGCAAAGTGACTTATAAACTATTATTTTTTTAATGCAATTGAAGATGAAAAGTAAAGTCACGAACACAGTTTTTTCTTCTTTTTTTCTTTACAGCAAGATGATGTTTAGGTGATCATTAAATAAAGTAGGAATTGTTTATTATTGGTGTTTCGTCTATTCTGATTTGTTTTGCTTCGCATTCAAAATATCAAAAAAACAGATTGTGTAATGTTAGCATCGTAATGTTAATTAGACCATTATAGGTTGAACTTAAAGAAAAATTTGAATTTGAATTAAAAAATATAAAAAAAAGTGTAGCAATATAATATCACATACTATTTTTCTGAAGATAGTTCAATCTGCTAATTGTATCCCTTCCATCAGTAACAATTAGTTTTTTTGCACATGCATTAAGCAGGGAACGCAAATATTTATTGGATAATTTATTTGGAGGCCATAATATTGCATCCTATTGTTTTTAATTGCATTTGGATATCGTGCGCTGTACTCTGTGTGCGGGTGTTATTCGATCTTTTGAACAGCAGGAGGCGCTGTGTTCGAAAAACGAGGGGTCTGAGAATGCGGGACTCTCGGTGGGGGACTGTAGATGCAGGCTCCGAGTCTGCAGCTTCATAATATTGGATAACTTCGGTCTTGCACGTGTGGTGTCGCGGCGTTGTTTCCTTTTCACATCTCACGTGTGTTTGTTGTGAAACGTAGTTTGCGCGCAGCGTGCTAGACAGAGTCTGTCGGCGATTTTTCCTATTGTAAAGTCATGCAGTGTGAAACCTTCTGTCACCGATCAATCGTCCAGTGTGAACACAGCAGTGACTGAATGCTGGCCAAGATAGTCATGCAGTGTGAAAAGAACAGCGACCCAACTACTTTGAAAATCACGCAGTCTGAACTCGGCATAAATTAAAGATTTCATATAAAACAAACAATCACGTAAAATGTCCTCCAGAGATTCATATTAATAAGGAAGACACTCATGAACACTCACCTTGATCAAACTTTTACAAGATATAGGATCTCAAATCCTCCAGCTTTAACATTACAACGATTTGAAAGGAAATTCCTGTGTAAACGTTTCTATTAAACACTTTAATGCTGTTTCTCCGTGTCGTATTGGTATTTTACCTGGTTAAAATGTCGACAGGTGATCTCTAATCACTTACTTTCACTTTAGTTGAGTAGACTGTCAATGGAGAGACACTTACCAACTAGTAACGGTTTTTGTTCAAAATTCACAAAGTGTATATAATGAGCGAGTACATCATGAATCCATCTTCCAGCCGGTGTTTTAGTCTTATCCTGAATCACAACGGTACGCCTATATTACGTGTTTATATTCGAACTATTTTAACCCTCTGGGCTTCTTCGGTCAAAAATGACCGAAAACTGTTACGTTTTGAAATGTTTAATTTTTTTGCTTGATCGGATCGAGCTGAAACTTGGTGACTTTTGTTGTATTACCTATATGAACACACAAAAAAATCAAGGAGATGATTCTGATTTGTTAAAGGGTCGTAAAAAAAAAAGTCACACTTAGCTTCCTCCCGGTCAAAAATGACCGACATAGGAAATGAATGGGAAATACGAAAAAACAGGAAAACTCAGAGAAACTTTTGGTGGTACAAGCTACAGATCAGCAACTGTGCAGAAAAAAAGTGTACAGCAATGAAGGGGTGACACTCTAGAACATCAAGAGTGCAAATAAGACCACCCCCCCCACACACACACACACACACACACGCACACAAACACACACACATACACAAATAAACTGGCAAGACTGCACCAGCAAATTTGTAGAATGTGAAAAATAAAATCAATAAATGAGAAAAAAATCTTGCTCAAATGCGCACTCACACACACACGCACACAGACATGAGAAATCATGTCTAAACCAACAAAAAGAATCAAAAAGCCTTTCTATGTATTTTTTAAAGCCACTAGGTGGCACTCTTCTACTTGAATTATTTTTTTTTATTAGCTGACACTCTATTTTGATGTGAAATGTTGTATTTATTGAAAAAAAAATTAAAAAAAATATAAAATAAAAATATGTATATTAATTCTATTGGAAAAAATAGCTCATAAAAATTATATAATTAATGCAAAGTATCATAAAAAATTCTAAAAATTCTAAATAATAATCAGAAAATATTATAGAACAAAAATATTTTTGAATGGTTATCCTGGGAAGAAGTAAAGTTAAATTTTAAGGCTTCGTCCGTTTTTGACCGGGAGGAAGCTAAGTGTAACCCATTTACGAAGAAGCCCAGAGGGTTAAACCGCTGCGGAGTAGCACAGGACACACGTGACTCGCCATAGAGAGAAGTAGATCCGGCTACAATGTTCTTCCGCAAGACATAGCAGTTTGTTTATTAACCGTTGGAGTGCCAAA